TTTAGATTTTAATCAAAATGCTTTTAAATGAATTGGTCCTAGAGTTCAAATACATACATGAGACGTTTAATTTAATTAAATAGAAAATGCGTCGTTTATTATTTTGCATAAAAAAACATAAAACTAATAAAAACTATCACCACGTTTAGAAAGGTATTAAAGGGCCATTTTAATCTCGTGTAGACGACGGGATATTATTGAAATATTGTTGAATGAGACTTGGTATTGGATGCAATTGCGTGTCGCTCCAACGATGATGTGTACATCTGTATGCAGAACCTTTCAATCTCATTTAAAATCGGCGATTACGGTGTCTTTAACTTCGACAGTTGATTCTTTTCGGCAGACATGTTCTCTAGCAAAAACTTAGGAGCCTTGGGTTACACAACCGCTTCTTTAATACGAGTTGTACTTAAGTTGAGTAAGTTTCGCCGCATGCGTTTGAAGATCTATCAGTTCAGTTGCTTGTATGATGTCATATCTGTTGAAGACCACAGTCTGATTTCACGTCTAACAGCCATGAGATTAAGATTGTGGTCGAAGTTTCAGGATCTACTGCGACGGTTCTCATAGAACTTAGCTCCGACCACATGCACTGTTTCCACGAGCTTGTCATTCATATCGTCCATCGTATTGAAATCTTCTAGGCAAGAAAAAAATGGTTGCAATTTTGAATTATAAATATTGCAAGTATGTTTATGACTGTGATACAAACCGGCATAGTAGCCAAATAATCGATCACTCCACCACGTGATTGGTGAACAATAGAAACATGAATTTTGTAACAAATAGCTCTATGAAAGAAAGCAAAACTGTTCACTGAATCAGTTAACTGTTAAAAGGCTATAAAACCTGTTGCACGAGGAAACATTTTATAAAAGAATTCAAAGTTGAGTTTTATCGTTTCGTTTAGAAAACACGAAAGCAAAAGCTTCAGTTACCCTTTGACCGCGCTTTCCTGTTAGGTTAATTGTATACAAAAAGCTTGTGACAACTTGGCAATGATATCGTGAATAAATGAAAATATAAATTTACGATGGCATTAATATATTTTAAACTTTGTATTTGATGTGAAATTGCATCTTAATGTTATTTCTATATTGTATATATATGTCTATATATGTTATATATATGTACATCTTAAATGTTGTTATTTAACTGTTTTTAAAAATATACGAAATAAATTTATAACCATTCACTTTAAATTCAATAGCTGGCGGGTAGATGTCATTCAATTTTAAATTGTAAATCTACTTACGTTTAATTATTCAATACCAATTTAATGGCATTCATAAAATATATTCTGGATTTAGATTTGTCTCCTCCATAACCCGCAAAGGTTACTATTAGAAATGACGGTCTCCGTTAAGGTGACACTTTTTCTTTTTTTGCTATTTACAAACTTTCTCCCCGTGTATTAAATAGTAGTGAATATTCTTACAACACGGTCTCAGGTTCTTTACGCTCACCGTACGAAACACAACAGCATCAAGCTGCTATTTCGCGTTGGTATTCTGTGAGAACGTGGCCCCTTCCCCATTAATGCTGCAACTATAATATAGCTACAGCATGGCTCTACCACGTAGTATCGTATTATGAAATCTAGCCTTTGGAGATAGTGCTCCAGGTAGTCAGTAAGGAATATTATATAAACTTACATGCGTCCAAGCAACATAACTCTATTTCTAAGGCAGTGAGGTAAGCTCTTGAGCGTATATATAACTGGTAAAGCTTGTCTAAACTGAAATGACGCGCCCCACTACTTAATTACTTGATTTCGATGTGTGAGTGCAAATATTAATAACGACGCTTCATCTGTGTTTGAGCGTCGACTGCTCCGCGAACTATGATCTGTATGCCTACGTGACGGTCGACTAGTCGCGTGATAAATCCGACAACGCTCTCCTTAGGGAGCAGCGTTGGGGCATTGTATGAAACAAAACGTCCGCTCATTGTCACCTTCAGGTAATTATGACAAGTTGGACAAAAATCCAAGAAAAGCCGCTTCTTAGCAAATACGGTCTACAAAGAAATTGAAGTTAAATTATTTAATTATGATGGTATTTCTTCTATTTGTTAATTAATGAATCAAAAGATATTGTTTTTATTTTGTAATTATGTAGATTAATTAAACCAGATTGATATTCTTTCGAAATATCTATTTTACAAATTAGTATAAATTATGTAAAGTATCACTATTCACTCATCTCCATAGATTCACTTTCATCTGAATCAGAGTCATTAACAGTAACCATAAATTCAAATTCCGTGTTAAAATATTGCAAATACTGTTTTTCTGTGTCTTCAACATGCCGACATGTATTTGCCCACATAGTACTATCAATCATTTCTAGTCGTTCATTTATAAGTGACATAATGGATGTAAAATTTTGTGAAACATTTTTATTAGCCACGTAGTTTTTTAATATCCCCCATATCTTTTCAATTGCATTTAGTTCCGGGTGGTAAGGTGGTAGTCGTAGAATTTCAAAACCTTTTGATTAAATCAGTTCGTCAATAACGAACCTCTTGAATCTGTCCTTATTTTTTAAAATAAGATCGTACAGTTATTTATAATAACTGAATATTTTTTTCTGCAAGCCACGTTTGCATGGCTTGCTTATTTGAGTTGGAGTTGGGAGCTTTTTCTAATCAAGCATTGTGGTAAGAAGGGTTATCCACAATGATGACAGCCTTTACCGGGAGATTGGGCAGTAATTGTGTGGTGAGCTATTTCTTATAATTATCCAGTTTCATGTCGTGATAATCACCACTTGTGGAGTTTGCTTTATACACCAAACTAGCATTTGGAACAAATCCTTCACATCCACCAGCGTGAACAATTATGACCCGAGTACCTTTAGACAACTTTTTTTGCGCTGCTGATACTCCTTTGACTGGTTTCCAGCACATATTTTGCAGATGTGTTGTAACATAACTTTCATCTGTGTATACGATATAGCGGCCCTCGTCACGATATTTTTTTAATTGCCTCAAATATTGAAAGCGTAACATTTGGATATCATGCTTTTCTACTAAAGCTTTACAGTTGTCATCTATTTTGGACCACTCGTAGCCCGATTCCTTCAAAATGATACGCAGAGTTTCTGTACAACCATTAAAATCAATTCTTTCTGTTAATACTTGTTTCAGCTTTCTTAACGTTGGTAATTCATTAAATTCTGTATGAAATGTCGCTATCGTTCTGCGAAGTATACTTGTATCAAAATCATCCAGGTTAGACTTGGTACGCTTCCTTTTTGGTTTTGAGGGCGATCTAAAAATTTTTTGTGACGTATGATTTGATGTACTAGCTTGTTTCTCTTCTTTCAAAATTCGTGTAATCGTAGATTCTCTAACACCAACGGCTTGGGCAGTTCGCCATCTAGCGTCAGATAGTTTTTCCGCTCCATTTTCCGTTTTATATTTCATTCTGCGGTACACTTTCGCAGTAATTTCTTTTGCCTGTAAAATGTATGCATGTAAACCACCATAAAAACAGTGTATGATTAAATAAGATTTTAAGCAATAACGTATTATTTTACTTACTTGACTCCGTAAATGTTTTTTGGTCGACATGCTGACGGTACTTTTACAATCGAACGACGCGTGCTCCTACGCTTGAGTCTCACCGGCAACTGAATGACCAATTACAACGGCATTTGTATATGTATTGCGTCCATATTTTAAATTTGCTTGTGTGCGTTAATGCGATAGTGGGGCGCGTCATTTCAGCTTAGACGAGCTCTACAGCTGAATTAATAACCTACCTATACCTCAATATTTGCCGTTTTCTTGCTCTACTGGCTTAACCCAGCCCTTTCGAGTTCATGAATAAGCGTTTCGCCTTGCAACCTGACGGATGAAACTTATTCACTATCGACAAAAGCAAAGTATTATCAAAATAAAAAATAAAACAAAAAACCTTTACTGCATTTATTGGTATTTAATATATGTATATAAAATCATATATATTAAATACTAATAAATTATTATATTAGTAAGAATACGCTTCAAGCAAGCTCCATATTGTTTTGTTACTCTTATAATAAAATGCAGCCTTTGTTACTCCGTTGATATAAAGAAACCTAAAAATCCAAAGCTCTTTAAAATATTCAAAACGTTTAGAATAAAGGAGTTCGTAAAGGAACAGTCCAACGAACTACGTCTGTCTGTATACTTATTATATGTGAATATGAAAAATGTTTGATACGATGTAAAAAGTAATTAAAAAAGTAAACAAAAAATATTTTTCTAAAACAGTCGTCAGAAGTCCACCAACACGCATTATGGCAGTGCGACAGACTGTGCCCACCGGTGGAACGTATATACTGTTATTTTACTTTTTCATTTGAATGAGAAGATCTCACTATGCACAGACAGGTACCATTTAAAAATAACTGGACAATAACTGGACTGGTGGGAGTCGGACTCGTGCATGAAGGTTTCCGTACCATCGTAAAACATGTTTCTTTTAGGAGAGCACTCTTTAATTTATTTTTATTTGTTGTTATAGCAGCAATAGAAATACACACTGAAAATTTCAACTGTGTATCTATTAGGGATCATGAGATACAGCCCACTGACAGAGAGACGGACGGACAGCGGAGGCTTAGTGATAGGGTCCCGTTGGTTACCGTTTGGGTACGGAACCCTAAAGACATACAACTTATATCTTCGGTGTGCTACCTAGCTCTGCATTGCAATGTTTTTACAGCTATTTTAAGAAATACATACACCTCATCATCTCTGAAATGAAAGGATATATTTAGGCATTTATTTTTCTTTGCTTTTAATTGTTCCGAGACTCATTTTTAGGAGTGTTCTACTATTAAATAATTCAATGATATTTAAAACAAAATTAAATATTGCCGTATATCACAGCAAATATCACCCCTATGAGATTATCAATGGAAGAGACTTATGTTCAGTAGTGGACTTGTAATGAAATAATAATAATAATCTGAAAATACAGTTACTAACCAACCAATAATCTGCAGATCAACATCTTCATGACACACATGTCGAACTACGGCAACGACCGGCTCGCGCTTTACACGTTTGAGTCGGTTGTGAAATTCCTACGTTGCTGGACGAACGTACGGCTAGCTTCAGCGCCGCCTCTCGCACTTGCCGACAAGTATTTCCAACTTCGACCCGACGAACTCAATCCGCTTTGGGGGGTAAGTTCTTGATTTACGTTTCTCTCATGCTCTTTGCAGATAACCAGTTTGACTAGACGTTAGGGCTCCTTACCTGCTTCGGGATCCGTCTGGGTAGGTCCGGTCTTTTTACCTGTCTTTATAAGCAAGCAGCTGTACATCTACTGCTACGTTCTGTTTTGGAGGGCATACTATTTTTTATTTAGATTATTAGATTATTTTTATTTAGATATTTTAGATTACGGGCTAAGGGGCGTTTTATAGACCTCAGGCTCGGTAACGCATCTATAGTCTATATTGTGTGAAGTTAATTGCAGGTGTCTATGGGCTGCAGAAACGAATTAATAAGCTTTTTATGGTTCCGTAGCTAAGATCGTCCCCGCCATTACATTAGATTCGATAGACCACAAATCCTCGCAAAAGAACACCGCTTCCTACCAAGGATAAAACACCAGGAGTGGGATTCCGCGATTGAATTCCTTGTACAATATTTCCATCATTAGTTCATGGTTTATCATTCCGTACAGAGCATCGCATATGTATGAGGCTGATTTTTGGGGAATAATAACGCATATTAACATTAACATCCTGAACTGTTATTCATGTTACGTATCCACGTCATCAGCTAATCATAAAGCACTTTTGACGGTTCTTAATTTAGCCAATCTGAGCTTTTTACATCAGCAATGCGATTGTGAAATCATTATCATCATCATCATCATCACATCCCATCACATGTCCACTGCTGAGCATATAATCCCTCAAAGAATGCCACAATGCACGGTCCTGTCACCTGCATTCATCAACGCGCTGCACCTTTTACCAGGTCGATCTATCGATCGATTTACTCGAACTAATAGAGAGCCAATCTACACTACCCTCACCGGTACAAGGCTGTCACTCGAGAATCTTTCATACTCATAGATTATTAATTCTTCGAGCTATATGGCCGGGCCATTGCTAATTCAAGTTAGAGATCCGTTGGGTTATGTCGGTAACTCTGTTTCTTCAGCGGATATCCTTATTACGCAGTCTATCGCGTAAAGAAACTAAGAGCATAGCCTTCTTCATAGCTTGCTGAGTGATTTGAGCTACCTGGTGCGCTCAGCAGTGAATGATCACGATTTAGATCCATATGTCATCACTGGCAACAGGCACTACCTTTTATAATCCACTATGTCATATACTTTACTGTGTCATAGCATGTGTGAGTGTCGTAAGAGGCGACAGAAGGAAACTGGAACAGGAGAAGGGTAGCAGCGTTTTCCCGAGGCCGGCGCCAGTAAGTGTGCAAGTCCTTCAAATAAGTGTTCAAATGTTGTTGCTATATCTGGCGCCGGCCTGATAACAACTCAATAATTATATAAAAGACTCTTTTATACGTGGTAGAGCCATGCTGCAGCTATATTAATAGTATAGTTGTAGCACGAATGGGTCGGCTCGACCGGGGAAGGACCACGCTCTCACAGAATACCAGCGTAAAATAGCAGCATAACACTGCTGTGTTTCGTATGGTGAGTGTAGAGAACCGGAGACCCTTTTTACTGGAAACGAGGCATTCCATCTTAGTCCTCACGGGTGACAACGCATCTGCATTTTGATTCTTAATCGATGTTAGATGTAGATGTCTATCGGCCGCAGCATCTCATGCTCGTTTGTCACCCTTATACTATAAAAAAAATGCCAACATGGGCTGTAATGAATGAATGAATGAAAGAAAACATTAATATATAAAAAAAAATCAGCTTATAATTGTTACTGATATATTTACACAGAACAACGAAATCAAACGTCAAATGTTCCAACGCAGCCAACCACGATTCCCACCTGTGTTACACAATGGCAGTGCTGTTATTAATAAGAGATGGTTATGCCGCCTTAAATGACGTTATATTTGAATGCCTCGTGGGTCTAGTGGTCGTGCTCGATTGTCGGGTCGGGCTAAAATCAGTTATTGGGTTTTTCGGTCAAGAAATTCTCCCAGCCCGATGTCAGGTATTTGCGGTGTTTCACCCAGTGACTTGGTAAGCACATAAAGCCGCTGTTGGTCCTGCACCTGATCTCTCTACGGCCGTATCAGATAACGTCGAACTATGAGAGTGCACTTCGGCTTGCGCATACAGTAGTAGTGCCCGCTGTAATTCTGTTCTGATGGTTGGTTTCCGTTGGGACCGGCCGCCGTAATCGAAATTCGGTCTCGAGGAGATTATTACAAGATCTTCGAATAATTTTTTCCTGATCGCTTCTCCTAAACCGGCGATGTTAAAATGTTTGTCAATATTAAAACAAACGACGCAGAACCCGTGCGACGACATCCGGCACCGGCGCATCTGGTCGAAGAGCAAGTGGTGCGGGTCGCTGCCGCGCGTGCTGGTGGTGGGGCCGCAGAAGACGGGCAGCACGGCGCTGCACACCTTCCTGGCGCTGCACCCCGCGCTCGCGCCCAACCTGCCCAGCCCCACCACCTACGAGGAGCTACAGTTCTTCAACAACCACAACTACTTGAAGGGACTGGACTGGTACGTATACTCCGCCAAATCTAAGACACCTTTAACGTTTCACATTAATCATTCCGCAATAACATTATACAAGCGTACTCACGTCATTTAAAATAACCTTTTACGCAAATCCAAAGAATTATGAAGTTATCTCTATTTCATTACAACATGTATAGTTTTTTATCACTAATTTAAGTTCGAATCTTTCAAACAATGCAAAATATCAAAAAATTAACCAGAATTAACTTTTTTGCTTGACGTCGTTACAATGATATGTCGTCATGTACTTTACCTTAGTGTTCAGATGATTCAAATTCATGTTGTCAAATTCATGTGGTAAGAATATTCAAATAATTCAACGTTTACATTTTTTAATTTATTATTTAATTAATAGAATCAGGCGTTACTTTGGGGAAATCCATTATATACAAGCTTTTAGAAAAATTTACTTCGCAAATATCCGCGTTATAAAATAAAATGATGTGTATTACCTAGTATGAAGAGCACCTCCCGCCCTCATTCAATTGCGTGCACTATCCCCGTCACCATGAATCCCAGCACCGCTAGCTTAGCGGTTAGCCACCGTAGAGTCTATATCACCTGAGGATGCCTCGTATAGAGGCGAAACATGTGTCGTATTATCGTCAGTGGTGTGTCTTGCCTAGTGTAGTGGTGTTGGGAGTAGCGGTGCTGGGATTAGTGGTGACGGGGATAGTGCACGCAATTGAGGGAGGGCGGGAGGTGCTCTTCATACTAGGTAATACACATCATTTTATTTTACAACGCGGATATTTATTTGCGAAGTAAATTTTTCTAAAAGCTTTTATTAAATTTATTATTTGTTAAATTAGATTTTTATTTTTAGAGCTTTATAAATTATATGAATTATGAATAAAACTAGTATATTTTTTTATAATTTCTGTGAACCCTACTGCAATAAGTTTAGAAGATGCCAGCTTGTACAATGGTGGTATAGAATCATTGAGAACCATCTAAAAAATAATTGACAAATGCAAACTTGACAAATGCAAAATAATTATTTAAGGGCATGAATGCAAAGAATGTTATTGTTACGAGAAATTTAAAATATAACCAATTGGGACAACGTTATGTGCATTGATGAAACGTGGCTAAATGCCGACCACACGACAGATGACACGTACCCGTGAAAAAAGGTGCCATGTGGAATCCGCTGGAGTAGGATTTGTAGAAAATACAACTACTACAAGGGATGACTGGGCCAAAGAAGAAAATTTTTGTGTACGTCTATAAAAGAGACATTAATTTTGAACGCGTTATAGAAACTCAAGTAATAATAATTAATGTAAACAATGATGATAACAACGAATGCTCAACTAGTTGTGAAGGTGATTAAATAAAGGGGAATGCCTACCGTTCATAGACACTTCGGCCATGGGTGCCCACATATAAAAGCATATGGAAATGATAATAACCAATTAAAGGAATAAAACGGTTAAGAAATTGGTTTAAAAAAGTCCGGATTTTTAAGATATAAAAGCTTTTTATTTTCACAAGAACAGTTTTTTAACAAAAATGACAACAAATGACTTCGTATTTTCGTGACATTTAAACCACAATTGACACAGCGTAAATATCCTCTTGAATAAGTTACTGAGGGCTGGGAAGAACTCTGACCGGTGTGAAAGCTGGGGTCATCGTTAACAGTGGGTAGCGAGTCCAAGTTAGTGAAAAGGTTATCGTAAGAAGTGGGAGCGGGATCTATTTTCAGGCCGTGGTGAATAGGGTGAGAAGAATTATCGGAGTCCATTTAGAAAGTTTATTCCTTGCTCAAATAACAAATCCGCTAGAAAACAAAGAAAATAACACAAATGCAAAGGAATTCGACCTTTGACTAATTTAGTTTTGATAATTATGACATAGGCCTAGCTTTCAGATTCGATGTTGCCAATTAACAGACATAAAATCGATAAATAGATAGCGATTTTTTTTATTCGATTTATAATTTCATAAAAGAGAATAATCTTTTATTCGCTTTAAGTTCTGCACGCCTTTTAAAGTATGTTTTGTTTTATTTATTTAAATTCCATTTTAAATGTATTTTTAAGAACAGGTAAAAATAACAGCTAAATTGTGCAGTAGGGTTTTTGTAATGTTCTAAAGAGTGCATGGTAAATCAATTAGCAATTCGCTTGTTTAATTTTCATAACATCATAATAATTATCGAAAAATAATATTACCATTATAATAATGACACCATAAAAAAACGATTGAAAAAACAGAATCGACTTTTTTAACGAGATTTGTTATTGGCAACACTTTATTTTATCCACAAACTAATGACATGCGGATTTACGTAATTTCATTTTTATCCTTTCGGTACTTCTTTTTTGCGCAAAAATATTGCGCAAAAAATATTTTGGATACATAAATACCGCGATTAATTATCATAAAAAGAGATGTATTTTTTTAACAAATGCAAATTGTTGGGTGTTTCATGGCCAGAATTGGGCATACCCCTTTTTAATCTAGTGCAATATTAGTGTAAGCAATAAACGTGAAGAAACTGATTAATTTTGATTTTTGAGTTATGTGTTTCTAAAGGTATTAATTTACATAGATAAAACTGTAAATGATTACCAACTCTAAAGAATCGATATCGATTTCTTAAGATTTTTCAGTTCAAATGCCTAGTCCACATCTGTCAAAAGGTATTTCTTAGATTTGGTGGTGCATAGTAAGTGTTAAAAGTTGTGTTCGTAAATAAGTTGGAAAACTTGTTTTTTCTTTTAAACTTAACATGGTCTATGGCTACAGTTAATGCCAGCAACCTTGGACAGTTCGTCGCTCTGCCTAGCCAGAAGACGTCTCGCATTACATTTGCCTAAAAAGAGGGTTCTAGTGGCTGCGTAAAAGTATTCATTACAAGTAATGATATATCATCTCGTGGGTGTCGTAAGAGACGACAGAGGGAAACAGAAAAAAGGAGATGGGCAGCAACATCTTTCTGATAATAACTCAATTATAATAAAAATAAAACTATGGTTGTCAATCCTGCCAAGAGTGGCAACTATGGCTAATATCCTCTCCATTAAAAATAAATAAACCAAACCACATATATTTATAAAAGTAGAAAAATTAAGAAAAATTTAAAAAATGCAAAAAATTGAAGAGCAAACCACTGAGGCATTGTTTTGTGTATTAATATAATACTATAGAAACTGATAAACTTTTATTGAAAACTAACTACTCAATTAAATGAGATTGTGTACCAAAAAAACTTTACCTCAGTATCAACTAGCGACATCTGGTGAGTAGAAAATTATTAGGCCTCATTGATTAATTAATTATTATTAAATTAATGATTACCTGGTTCATTAGTTATTTAATAAAACTGGCAATTTTACCTAATCTTTATACATCTATACCTAAAATTGCAGATTATACTATGTGACTCACCTTGATAATTTTTTTTTCTATTATTCATGGTTATTGTGAAAATGTAATTACGAATTATTAGTTTCTTTTAAATAATGTCATTATTACATGCCTAATCGAAAGAATTTATATTCTAGTGACGTTTTAATCACCTATAATTTATGATGCGCTAAACCATGATATTTGGGAAAATATTAACAAAAGAACCATGATTTTCTAATTTCAAACAAAACAGCATTTGTCTGAATTTAGTTCTTCAATTGTACTCTTTGCTGCATCATTCTCATAGTTGTCATCATCGTCTTCATATTCATTATAACCGTGGCTTCCACCAGAAAATTTAAAATAGATTTATGTAGAGTATCTAAAATTATTTATCTAACAATATTCCATTGGTTGTTTTAAGAGTAAGATAAATGTTTTATTACATGTTTATGATAAAACTTAAGTTCTCATCGTCATCTTTAAACATCTCATTTTACTCACTCTCGTTAAAATTATTTTAAGTTCAATCAAAAGTTCAAATTGATTTTGTAATATTTAGATATAAATGTAGGAAACAATTATGTGTGCAAACTATTTTCGTTGGAAGCCGTACTTTTCAAGTGTTAGTAGACAGGTTGAGGTCATTTACGTTCCTATTCTCATCTTAATCGCATTCGTGTGAACTAAAGATCAGGGTTTACAGTTCAGGTAATATGGTAGTAAAGCAAAACATAAAATACCGCTCCGCCCATCTGGATTAATAAACTGCAGATGTCCTTGAAATAAGTTTTTTTGTTGTAAACATGCCGGTTTCGTTCAGCACTTATGCACAGAATAAGTTATAGTTCTAACGTACCCTATCATCTCTTACACCATAAACGTAAATTTTTCTATAAAATTGGTACAGATTATAGAATGCATTAGTAACATCAATTTTGAATGGAGCCTTGGTTTTTAGTAATAAATTAATGTAATTAAAGGTCCATTATGTAATATGTAACTTTAAAGTACATAACATACATATATATTTAAGATTAAAAAATAGCTTTTTAAATGAATGTACGGAATTTCCTTAAACTGATTTATTTTTACTTTAGACTTGCACACTTTGGAAAACTTTCGTTGTTCAGGTACTTAAACTTCTTCCCGGCGAGCCTGAGCAACTTGAGTCAGATTTCCTTCGAGAAATCAGCGACGTATTTCGACGGCGAGCTGGTGCCAAGACGTGCCCACGCACTTCTTCCTACTGCAAAAATCATCATTATTCTTATTTCTCCCTCTAAAAGGTACGTGTATTATTTTAAAATATGATTTTTTCTATAATGATTTCTTATATTTACGCGAACACTACACATTTAAATATAACTAACATCTGTCAAGCCGCCGAAGAAGATTAGTCAGTTTTTACCATCAGTCAAGTGTAATATTCCTCTGCAAGATGCAGGAGTGTACAAGCTGGATTGTGAATGTGGTCTCTCTTATATAGGACAAACTAAAAGATCCATAAAAACCCGCGTTAAAGAACACATAGCTGATGTGAAGAATAGACGCTCCGGGAAGTCTGCAGTCTATGAACATGTGCAGGATCGCCCCCGTTACTACATTAGATTTGATAGACCACAAATCCTCGCTAAAGAACACCGATTCCTTCCAAGGATAATTCGCGAGGCTATTAAAATCAAAAAACATCCTAATTTCAATAGAGAAGATGGCTGGGTGCTACCATCTGCTTGGGATCCCATAATTAATAAAATTAAAACCCAATCCAAGCATTCAACTGCAAGACTTCATGATACTGTAAGTTCATACTGCGTAGATCGGAACAAAAATTAATAATTTTTAATCTGGAGGTAGCCGTGGTTAACTATGACATTGGGACGTCATACACCTCAGTCCCCCTGTGACCATGGGTGCTGTAAAGTGCTTGAAACGTCGGGAATGTAAAATAAGTTAATATACGCGATAAAATCCGTAAAATTAGTTTTATTTAAATGATTTTTTCTTTTTTGTTTCCTCTTGTATTTGCAAACTCCTAAACATTTATCTGTAGGTTATACAAATTGTTGTCCCGTGGAATCAAATCAGCGACCCGCAGCGCTCCAGCCAAAACTGCACTACGAAATTGTCAAAACCTAAATCACTAAACCACTAATAATATACATATATATAATAGCTTTCTATTAGGGAATATGGCATATATATTTCTATTAGGGAATATGACTTATATTATTATTTTCATTGCAAGAACAAATGTCTCTCAAAATACCCCAGACTTTACGTGCTCTTTCTTTGTAAGTACGTGAAATAAGGGCCTCTTCCCCCTCATCCGCCCGCAATCAGTCATCTGGCCCCCTACCATAATTATTGGAATGATTTACCTGTAATTGGTTGCCAAGTGGATTAGATATTCCAGTCTTAGATGACGCTGATTCCCGTCGCTGGTCTGGGTTCATTTTGGGCTCATTTAATATGCATATAATATGACATGATATGACTTATTAGAAGCCACTATATTCTTCGGGTATTTTCCTTATTTACCTTTTACGTCACCAACGGAACAAGACGTGGTAATGGATTTCTTATTTCGTGACTACACGCTGGTCTATGTGGCTTGTCAAGCATGAAGTTGTATTTTTTTTAAATGTAACTTCAAACAGATTTTATTATATTTTGTTACAAATGTACCATATTTTATTATTAATATAATCCTGTGACACATTGTTGCGACAATACGTCCAATTACAGGTTTTGATTTTATTGACACCGGCACAAGTTATTGACATCTGAACGACCGACTCCTGAGCTGCGTCTAATGTGGCATAAAAATAGGAAATGATACATAATATGACTAGAAGCTTAATATAATTATAAAAGTTAGACATCCATAATTGTTGAAAAATTAATACAATATATTGCTTTTTTATCATCGTATGGTTTACTTTTTGCAATTAAAATAATTCTTCGAAATCAAAATTCGACTTGAAAAAGGTTTAAGGTTACAGCCTCTCTGTAAGGTTTAAGGTTACAGCCTGTATACGTCCCAGTGCTGGGCACAGATCTCCTCTCTTTTTTTAAAGGATATAAGTAAGGCGTATTGTCGAATTTTATATGTCTTCTAATATTTTCTTTTAATTTCTCAGACGTTAACACGAAAATCAGCATTTAAAATTGCTATCAATGATTTCATTGCTGCCGGCGGGGTTCGGGTGAAATTTACAACAAGCTCTTAGCCCCGGCTTTTAAAGGCTTCTTTAATGTTTTTTTTTATGTATTGCATTGTGTACATACTAGATAAAATGAAAGGTATAAATAATTATAAATTAATTTAACGGAGCAAATATTGTTGCTTATTAAGCCTCGAACGTGCTTTAGAAATGTAAACATGTTTGATGATATACAACGAGCCCTTCTTAAGAGCTGCCGTGTTATAAATATTTATTACATATTATTTAAATGTATTATTGTGCATTAACATAGCGAATAAAAGGTATACGGAGCATTTTTTCATATTCGATTTTTATAAAGTACTCAAAAATAGCATTTTCGACTCACACTTAATCTTGATAAACAAAAGTGAAACAAAAGTATACGCTCTTATGTCGTATAAATATGCTGTATAACATAAGCAAAATTGCTCGTATTTACATTTAAATAGTTCTGTTTTTATTGACTCCATTAATGTTTTTTTTTTCTTAGGGCGTATTCGTGGTATCAACATATACGATCGCACGGTGACCCCGTCGCTAAAAATTACACTTTCCACACCATCATTACGGCGAACGATTCCGCCCCCAAGCCGCTTAAGGACTTAAGGTGAGTTCTCTTTTGATACACCAACAACAACAATACGGGAAAATGGAGCAAAACGAACGTTAAGTTCTCAAGATATTCAACCGTAAACTCTGTTTCCTATTGAATACTCTGTGAATTGAAACTGTACTCATCTGCTGGGATTTGTAGCGTAGAGACTACCCTCAGTTCACTTTTCAGATGTTTTGAAGTAAGGCGTAGATTGTGGAATATGCTCGCTTTTGTCCCGGGTGAATAAAGAAATTCGTTCTGTTCGTTCCATCGTTACATATACATACTTATAATATAATATATTACGTATCTACTGGATGAAATTTAAAACGAATTTAAAATCCCAATTCCCTTTTTACAATTGTAAAACAACGAAAAACGGTTTAGAAAACAAATAAAATGTAACTTCCATCGAAAAATGTTCGTTGTGATCCGTTTGACAATTCTCCTATTTTCCATTTCACATGAAAGCGTTTTATTTTTGTCCTCTTAACAAGCATTTTTATCAGCTTTTTTCTGTTTTTATTTTTGTTTAGAATGTCAATTCCACTTTCCACTAGGGGTACTTGACAAAGTTTGATAACAATTTTATAACGTCTACCAAACATCTATTTCAACCATGAATCGAAATTAACTTGTTTAATTTTCTAAAATATTTTTGATAAAGAGACATCACATTAATTCAGTAAAGTTAATATATTTAAAAAAAAAACTTCCTTTTCGACTAGGAACCTGGTATCTTGAAACCAGGTTCTACAGGCTTATCTACTATTTAAACAAATGACTGCTATATGATAGTGTATACTAGAACACGAGTTAAAAGTATACCAATACCATACATCTTGCACTGAATATATTACCTTAATCTTTGCTTCCTGACACTGCTCTAGGTCATTTATGTATACGTTAGTAGTATAATATGATGATTATTCCGTTCATTCTCAGAAGTTTCGTGCTTTGTATTTAATTAGTTTACGTAATTCAAAGAAACCAGTGGGAAAATCATAATGAAGTATTTACGACGTCTTCAAGGCCCTAGAATGGCATGCAATCATACGAGCTCTCTAAACCTTTAAGCCGGGTGCTCTACTTAGCGGCAAGTGACATGGGCAGGGCGGTAATTACCTGTTTACCCGCAACCATCCCAGATGCACTCTTAGAGATGAAATGGAACAATACCACATAGTCAATTTCTTTTTTTATATAGAATAGGGGGATAAACGAGCACACAGTCCACCTGATGGTAATTGGATGCTGTGGTGCATAGACATCTACATTTATATTTAATTAGGAATCAAAATGCAGATGCGTTGTGTCACCCTTGAGGACTAAGATGGAATGCCTTGTTTCCAGTAAAAGGATCTCAGATTCTCTACACTCACCATACGAAACACAGCAGCGTTAAGCTGCTATTTTACGTTGGTATTCTGTGGGAGCGTGTTCCTACTCCGGACGAGCCGACACATTCGAGATATAACCATAATGTAGCTGCAGCTTGGCTCTACCACGTATAAAACTTTACTATATTTCTTAAAAACTTTTAAAGTGAACCAAGAAATAGTATGAAACTTTTGTGTTATTTTTTTTTTAAATTCCTGGTGAGTAATGTTAGATCTAAGTATGAATTGAATATGAAGCAGGTTGAGTATATATTCAAATATAATATAAATTCAAATCTATTTCTCCGTGGATTTTGGATTTCCGAACAGCAGATATAAACTTCGTTTGTTACATCAAAGTTACGTCTTATCTAAGTTAGCATATGAACTCACGACACGAACTACAACATTTAAGTTCTATGATTTACTTACTTCGTTAAGGGTCTTGTTACTTGAATTTATATTTAATAGGTGCTGGTATATATGAAAGTACTTAATTACTGTATGTAAATCTTCAGAATAAATTCACGCTTAGATCCTTATACTAGAAGCACAAGCAATCATAATAATGATGTAATTCAAAAGTTAACAAATGGGTAAACATAATTTTTTTGTTTTCGTAAACATTGATGTTTTTTTTTTTAATTTTAATAAAAAGGCCTTAATTGTATTTAAAGACATAGAAGGGTATTTAAAGAGAAAGACAGATACAGACAAAGCGACTCAATAAAGACGAGTAAATTAATTTATTATTAATTCATCAGTTGTAAAAGTTCTCAGAAGTTCCTCCGTGGATAGTGCATTATTTTAACTGATTTTACTGCACCGAGCAAATACAAAGAGCTTCCAGCTTCTACTTTTATTATTTTTATTATTATTGAAATTATTCCAAATTGAATGTGATATATACGCAAGAAGGGTTTTACCTACCGATCATGTGTGCATTTTAAATTTAATAGATAAAAAGGACAGAATGTTTGAGATTTTTTTAAATTAATTTTTCTTCACCATTTGCCTTTAATACTTATTCTGGACCTTCTCTACTAATTTGGTGGGTTATTGCAAAGTAACCATGTATATAAAAAATACAGTTATAATTAAAAAATAAAATCCACTCAGTAATGAAAGCCCTGCCCAAGGGGTTATGTAACTTTAACTAAGGTACGTGAGGGTAATATGGTCACCTTAAGCTTTGCCGCCCTATAAAACCAAAACTAGGAAGAGGACAGAGACAAATACACAATGTCGTATACTATAACTAATATAGAAAAAAATAACAAACAAGCCTTGGAAATAATTAGCAACACATCGAAAAATCAACTTTAAAAAAAAACTAACTACATATAGTACGTGAGAGTAATATGGTCATCCGGTTAATATGGTCACTTTCTTATAACTCAAAAACTACAGCGTCGTTTGCATAGAACGCTCTGTGATACGATAGTTCTTGATCAGTTTATCAAATAATAAAGGGTCAAAAAGGCGCTGCTCGATAAAGCGGCGGCTTTTTGACCCTTTATTATTTGAATGACTGATGAAGAGCTATCGTATCATCCAACCATCCATGCAAACAAGGCTATAGTTTTTGAGTTATAAGAAAGTGACCATATTAACCGGATGACCATATTACCCTCACGTACTCTAACATTAGTTATTAGGTCGACAACCGATGGGATTCTAGAGTGGCAACTTCGTATCGGTAACCGCAAAGTAAGGCAGCCCACAACCGAGTTTAGTAACGACCTGATATGACTGCCACTTGCCTTAAACACAGTCCATCTTGCTTTACGCCCCGCCAAGGTCTTGCGCGATGCATGATGAAAAACGACAATGGGTACGATTCACGTACGTCACTAATTATTATTATTTGTTTGAAGTTGACGTAGGTCAAGCGTACTCACAGCAGTTTTTCATCCTGCATCATGCACTAACCTTGGCGGGACCGTGTGTAAAAGGCTTAGCTGTACAATTAGAACGTTTCGCACAGGAACCGTTGCTTGAACCCGGGCAAGTACAGCCACCACCTGGAGCGCTGGCTGGCGGAGTACAGCGCGCACCAGCTGCACGTGCTGGACGGCACGCAGCTGCGCGCCGAGCCCGCCGCCGTCATGAACACGCTGCAGAAGTTTCTCAAGCTCACGCCGCACATTGACTACAACAAGCTGCTCAAGTGAGTCAATCAACTTTTGTTTTTTGAACTGAAAACTTTTTACAATCTTTGGGATTTGAAACTCGATGAAACGCGACACTAAAAAGAGACAAAAATATACATTTATAGGAGATTTAGTCTGCGAGAGAATGAGATAGAATGACAATATACAATGTTTCCTATTATCTCGGTTTCTTCTTTGTGCGGTACTTCGTAGCCTCCACGTATTAATTAAGAGGTAATTCCTTCAAAAATCTCAATTAGTCAATAGATGAGTCTTCACTTTCACCGCGTGATATTTATTTAAAAAAATCTTGATTTTCGAGAAAAAACAATCGTCAATAATGGTAAAACACTTAAAACGGCCTTCTCTATTTTAAATCTCTACACTATTTCGTTATTATTTTAGAAAATAGTTTTGGTTAAAACGTGAGATAAAAAGTATAGATAATACATTCACCTATCATTTTTTTACTAGTTCCAACCAAAAAGCAATAATCTAAGCCTAAATATCATTCATTTTTTAGCAGAAATCGTTCCCCGTTTTCCATACATTTTAGTATGAAGCTGTTAGCCGTAGTCCGTAATTTGCTTTATTTTAGAGAACACGCGTGAAAAAATTCAGTGCCGCCTCATTTTTCGAGGTGATTGCACGTCCGTTCATAGTTCGATTTGACGACACGAGTCAATACATCTATTATTTGACATAGCATAAGGGTGGGTTGCGAGTATCGGACACGACTGCTAAAATTATTTGTATTCTTCAAGTAAGTAGACTATTATGTGAGTTTTAATAAGTATTATTTTTTCTAATTATCAGACATTAATGTAATTAATAAAATAGTAATTTATTTTAATATCCATTTTAGGTAGATAATATGGGAAAACGCAAAGAAAGTTATTAGAATAAAAAAATCAAATTAATAATGTTAGCATATGAATCACGGAAACTCGCTAAGAGAACAGTCTCGTTTTAGGACTGGACTCAACCGGTGCAGTGGGGATCTATGATCTGGACTTTGATGAATTGTTGATCAGTGGGTTACCCTCTGTAGGGTCCACCCATTGTGATATCAATTCAGACCTTCTAGAATAGTCCTGTCCTGATTAAATCATCGGATTCTTTGTTGAGGTTACTATCCGATAACGATGACATTTTGGTTATTTTAGTAATACTTTATGGCGAGGTTATTATTGCAGTAGTTAAATTTAGATTGACAACTAATATTTATAATATAGAAGTTATCTATTCAGTTATCCTGTCGTCTAATGTTATGGCTTTTCATTAGTGCCGACAAAATACAATATGTAACAAGAACTCTATGGTTGACGTTAAATGCTTTATAAGATTTAGTATTCAAACGTATATAAATAATTTTAATTCGGAAAACAACATAAAAATTATCAAATTAAATTTAAATAAAATAATATTTGTAAATTGTATGTGGATTGATTACCTCTGCATTGGACTGATGACACAAGCCAAAGCGAAACAGAAAGCCGCGGCAGCCATCGGCGTGAACTCTTTACATAACACTGGTAATCGATTATCAAAATTTAAAAATTTACTTCGACTGATTGTGATATTGATGTGTGAGATTGATGCACAACCACTAATTCATTACTATGTTTACTTGACGACCGCGAAGTTATTGTTCAATACTTCCGCCTTGTACCTTTAAGCACTTGCGATACCGGATTACATTATAAAGTTTGAACGCACGCGTTGCAGAACAGACATTTGAAACTTTATTTTTGCAAAGGCTGCGACTATTCGCATACGCATTTTCGCCTCGGTATCACATGTTTTTTTTTGGTACACTGACTGACAGCTTAATCGTACCACAAAGATAAAAGTCTAAAGGTGTGAGAACAGGTGATCGCGTCGGCCAATTGATCGGTCCACCACGGCCAATACATCTTTTACCGAATTTTCCAAGACATTCCTTAAATTATAATATTAGAATATTCCTCGTTTGTTGTTTGAGTCAGCCATCGGATACAAACTACTCACGGCGGTTACTTAATTTCGTAATGTAAAAAGCAGATCCGTCCGGAAGTAGATTAGTTTCGTCAGATACAAATCGTTTTGTAGTTATATGCGCTCGTGTACTATTGGTTGGTGGTTAATGCTTCCGAACACTCGACTTTATCGTTGTGCGAGTGGCAAAACGACTGTAGTCTGTAACATAATTTTGATATTTTCTGAATTCGTTGTGATTTTTGTATTTTTTTTTCTAATGTTTTGCAAAATCTACTAATTATTATTGAGTATTCTTAACGAGTTGAATGCATGTAAAGAAAATACAAAAACCTACGTAAACATACGCATTTTTTTATCGGTCATTGATAAACAACCTTCATTTTTTTATATCTTTTCATGACAACTAAATTGTGACAAAATTTTATGTTTATTAAACTTTCCATGTTTTTAAATAACCACTGAAAAAACACGGGCTCAAAATAAGTCAGTTGGCATACAGTGGACGATACTTTTGCGATCACTCGAAGTGCGTGTAAATTTTTGGGATTTTCCTATACTAAAGTCCTACGATGAGGAGCGGGTAGCGGGTTTGAGTTAGGAGTTATTGGGGTTGGAGCGCGCGAAACGCCGCTTATTTTATAGTAATTTTATTTTGTTTATTACATTATTTTAATATGAATCTATTTAAAAATAATTTCTGTCATACATATTCTTTATCGAATAAAGTTTCACATGAAAAATGCATCATACATTTCTCCTAGAAATAGTTTGAAATTAATCACGGCATTTTATGCTTGAAATACCCTTTTTTAAATCTTTTTCCCAAACCTCTAATTAGTAATGACGTGGTTTATAACATAAGTATTCAATAACAATGTGTATTGGCGGTGGAAGAATATATACTACATGGCATCTTCCTAACAACAACTAGATCCATAGTAAAAAACTGCGGTTGCCAACCCGCCTGGCAATAGTGGAAACTATGACAAATACCACCTTATGAGGTTATCCGTTGGATAGGCTTATGTTCAGTAGGTGACTTTGATAGATCGTAATGAACGAATGAACGATATATATTTAATCTCAACATTATTATAGAAAACAATTTCTATTCTATTTTATTTTTTTACAAAAGAACTCGTCAAAACATCGTCATCTACGTAGCTGAACTAAGAATTTTTCGATTTAAGTGACTTCGTAAAATTATTTTTGTAAGATAATTTATAATATAATAGATTTAAACATATTAAATATTATTAGGTATTCAAGAAGGGATATGGAATTTTCATAAAGTGCCAGCACATTATTTTTAAAAATATTTTCATTATTATTACTATTATTTTTAAATTTAAAGTTTCTGAGAACAACTGTATCTAGAAAAAATTTAGACGAAAAACTTTTTATTATACCTACTTTATTGTATAAACCATAACATTATACCCATATATTTAAAGAAAACACGAATTAAGTATATTACTTCTCCTTGGCAGTAAAATATAGCCGCAATGGTTGCAATATATAAGATACTAGCTGGCCAGGCAGACGTTGTTCTGCCTTCTCTGACGACCCCGTATCCTATAAAAATTCTTAAATTCGTAATCATTCAAAAAAATATTGAGGGTCACTTATAGGTCACTATATAAAAACTATACTATCTCTTAAGTTGGACAAAAGTGCACACAGTGTGCAAAATTTCATTGCAATCAGTTTAGCAGTTAAGGAGTTCATCGCGGACAAACAATGTGACACGTAATTTTTATATATAAAGATGATCCGCCATCTCGAAAGATACTGTTGAGGGGGGGACTATTCACACACAAATCTTGGGGGTGCGCGCGCCGCTCAGCGACTCGCTTTTAAAAAAATGCTGTAGCGGCCGTGTCAGAGACCTCACAGTGACTGTAGGTATGTTGGCACGTATCGTTTAGTTCAGATGCAGATAACATTTTTAGAAATATATATAAAAAATAGCAATGACCTATATGTAGTGCACGAGACAGTGAAAGGGTTAAGCTTAGAAACGCTAAAATCCCATTCATAGTACATTTATACGTCCTGAAACAACCAACGGGTCGTTTGTTACATACTGTATAAATTGTTTATACTACTGTGATTGTTTAAATATGTATTAACCTTTATTTTTTTTAATATAATATCATTTATGAAACCCACATTTCCCATATTACACAAAACATTTATAATATTTTAAATTTCTTCATAAATTAAAAATAATAGTTAAAATAATACCTATAAAGCGTACACTCTGATCCCACCCTTTGCCGTCAACTATTTATTACGGGTTCGCGGACTTCGCTATGCGACAAGCAAATAACACAGAATAAATTGCAAATAGCTAATACAATGCGTGTTTTCTGTGACATTCATGAACATCCTACGAAGAAGAACGCGGGATGAATAGGTAACTGTGCGAAGCACCAAAAGTCACATTTATTCGTCACCATTTATTCATGTCTAGGGTGCTTATACTAACACTGCGCAATGCGTCTATGTGACTAGAAAATATCAATGTAGGTGTTCTATTAGAAATTCCTACGCTCAAGGACTACAGTCTTAATATTAATTTAATAATTTTAGGGTTCCGTACCTCAAAAGGAAAAAACAGAACCCTTATAGGATCACTTTGTTGTCCGTCTGTCTGTCTGTCAAGACCCTTTTTCTCAGGAACGCGTGGAGGTATTAAGTTGAAATTCATATCAAATACTCAAGTCTACCGTCCCTTGGAGCTGTGAAAAAATCAAACTTCTAAGCCAACGCAATCAAAAGATACAGCCGTTTATGCCGCAAATTTTCGACATTCGCAAGGGAATCAAAACCTACAGGGTACTTCCCTTGAACTCAGGATCTTGAAATTTGGTACGAAGCAACGTTTTATAGCACAGATAAAAGAAAAAAGTGCAAAAAGCATAAATTTTGTAGTTACATCATATAATAAAAATATTTTTAATAATTTTAAACATATACCTACGAATTTGTTCGGAACCCTCGGTGCGCGAGTCCGACTCGCACTTGGCCGGTTTATTTTAACTTGGTAACAATATTAAAATAAATAAACCTACTTCTAATACTCTGCATTCGTCTCATTCTCTCGAAGTTTCTGAAGATTTCAGTTCGATTTCAGTGTGAACTGCACAGTGTACGCATATTTTTATTTTTACCCGACTGCCCCAGAAAAAGGGTAATGTTTTTCGAGTGTACTTGTATGTCTATTTCTTTAGCACGCTCTGTACCCTAAACGGCTTGATGGATTTTAACATATGTCTTTAGATTATTCTTAGTTGTGGAAGTGACATAAGACAAAAATGTTTTCTCTTTTCAGTACTACTATAACTTATTTATTTATTTATTTTATTTTTATAGGATAAAGGTAACAAGCGAGCACATAGCCCACCTGATGGTAAGTGGTTGCTGTGGCTCATAGACATCTACATCTATCCCCGTTTGCGGTTGTCAGACGTGAGGGTAAGGATGAAATACCTCTTTTCCAGTAAAAAGGGTCTCCGGTTCTCTCCACTCACCATACAAAACAAAGCAGCATTAAAGTGGTCTTTTCCCCGTCGAGCCGACCCATTCGTGCTACAACTATACCAGTAATATAGCTACAGCATGGCTCTACCACGTAGAAAAGCGTGAGTGCAGTTTCTCGAGCACTGGAGATCCTTTTTACTGATAATGAGACATTTCATCTTAGTCCTAAAGAACAAGGGATGAATTTTCATTCTAAATCGATGGTAGATGTAAGTATATATAGACAGCATCCACTTAGCATCGGCTGGACTTTATGCTCGTTTGTCCTTAATTATTTTATTAATATTTTTTGATACAACCCCCAAAATTCATTGATATTTCATATTTTTATTCTATGTAATGACGATTACTATCAAATGTTACGAATTACCTTATAAACTTTGCTTTGACTAATGTTTTACAAAATTTTAAGTCACCGACTGAAATACATCAAAAGAATCATTTTGGTAGAGCGGTGAAATGCGTCATCTCCTCACAGAACCACTCCATGCAAACGTATTCATTAACACCACAGACGGGCTTTTACCTGAGCAAAACTTTCAACGTAAAAGGGTATTTCTGCTACTACCACTCTACTTTTTCGTTCTAATATAATTACGATGGATATTTAAATTTTTTATTTTTGATTTTTGCGCGAACGCGTAGGTGGGATCTAAAATTAATAATTTTAATCTGGAGGTAGCCGTGGTTAACTATTACGTCCGGACGTCGAACATCTCAGTTCCCCCTGTAACCATGGGTGCTGTAAAGTACTCGAAACTTCGGGAATATAAAATAAGTTAATCATCATCATGATCATCATTACAGCCCTTCACAAGTCCACTGCTGGACATGGGCCTCCCCCAAGGAATGTCACAAAGCACAGTTCTGAGCCACCTGCATCCATCGACTTCCGGCATGTCTTACCAGTTTTGTAACTCGAGCTGAAAGGTTTCGGTACTTAGGATTAGAGCACGAGGGGGGCGGAGCGTTGACTTCATTTGACGAGACCTCTCCAACTTAACGTTTAGGTGCAGTGTGCCTCTAAGCATTCGGTGATCGCTACCAGTTTTCCCCCTCGCGATCACTGAGACATCTTTAAAAAGATGCCGTCTAGTCATCATAAGCTAATATACACAATAAAATGTACTCAAGTCCACTGCTGCAATCATATCACTTTATTGCTAGTGAATACTATTTTAATAGGCTTCATATGGTTTTATGTTATTATTGTCTATCTTTATAACTGTGTAGTTGCGGTGTAAGAATATCCACTGCGTCATATCGTGCTTTGGGTGTAGTAATAAGCGACAGAGGGAAAGAAACTATAAGATGAGTGAAAACTAAAAAAACGTGTGCCAACGTGCCTGCCGAGCGTGGCAACTATAGCAAATATCCGACCTTTGGGGGCATCTATGGGGGAGGCGTTCAACAGTAGACTTTTGATAGGCTGGTTTAACTGGTATCACAATAACGATTTTATGTTTTTGTATAGTATAATTATCAGAAATACCTACATTAATTTGGAGTTTGTGTAGGTATCTTTTATTTGGATCGACTCGACAGTGTAAATAAAGCGTGATGAATGTTTATATGTCGGGTATGCAGATGTAAACCCATTTTGTACCATTCATTATAAACGGTTTCATTTGACGCCACAATAATCTGTAGAAAAGCGAACGGTAAAAAAAAAAGATAATTGCAATTAATATTATTTCATTGGCACCGATAGGTATCGAATACGAGTTGCTTGCTTTCAGTTATATTTACGAGTCTCTAACCACATGAGTAACTAAACGGAACTTTAGCCCCCTGACCTATAAAGACTATTTATTACTTATTATTATTGGGTGCAGCAGTATAAAAATCAATTTAAAACTTCATTTTTATTTTCTACAATACTTTAATTGAAATTAGGCACATTAGGCATTTCTTTTTTCTTAATTTTTACATGTGTATTAGATGGATTGATTTATTAATTGATTTTTGTTTTCATTGATGTTCGTTGTTGCCTGAAATTTAAACGGTTACGTTTAAACGATATTTTGTCACGGTTGTTGGTCCTGGTCCTCGAAATGACCAATTGTACTCGATGTGACATTTAAACAGGAACCTAAAGGCCTTGCGCCTTTATGTATTTTTATTGTTATATAATAATATATGTATATGTAAATATATGTTTTTAATGAATGACCTAACATCTACCTATGTAATATATTTATAAGCAAAACGACTAGAATATGATCACGGCAAATCCGATAGATCCCATAAGATGCTGTTTCTTTCGTCATATTGTAATTTATGTCATTTATATATTTAAATGACATATGCATGCATTCATGCATGCCACAGCATCCACTTACCATCAGGTGGGCTGTGTGCTCGCTTGTTATCCTAATTCGATATAAAAATACCTTTTCTTTAGTACCATACATTTTCTTAGCAACTTGTCCTCAATCTCAAGGTTTTATTGACTGATTTCACTTAAAAACTTATTTACCTTAAATCAATTGCAATGAAATTGGCCTAGATCAAAGACAATTTATAGGTCAAACATTATTACTAATCAGTAATCACCCCAAAAACTGTTTCAATATTAAATTCAGTTAAAATGTGAAGAAGGCAGTATGTCACGAGCATGTCTGCTACTAGCGACTCTTAGTATAGCGCCCTGTGTACATTTATACGCCTATATCATTGAGGTTTCACTTCTGTCGACAGTCCTTATTCATAAATTAATAATTTGAAAAACTGGGAACTTTCTAAAATTAATAAAACAGCCCAGTTATTAGACATCCAGCAAAAACATTAACGAAAGAAACTGGGGAATACGGTATGATGATGTCAAATTTACACATATTATTGTATAGTCCGAGCTGCAATTGTTTCTCGGTTGTCTAGCCCCGGTTAGGACACATTTCGGATCCTCAAAAACTATTCTTTAAATTTCTTGCAGCCCGGATATCACCTTAATAGGTCCTTATACCCTGATTATTGACTTTAAGTCGACGCAAGATTATATTATTACGTTACTTTACTGTACTTTATGATTTACATAATGTCGTATGTTTCAGATACGATCCCAAAAAAGGCTTCTTCTGTCAAGTAACAAGCGGCGAGAAGACGAAGTGCTTGGGCAAATCGAAGGGCCGTATCTACCCGCCGATGGAAGAGCGCTCGGCGAAGTTCCTAAAGCGCTACTATACGCCGCACAACACGGCGCTATCGAAACTTCTAGTGAGATTAGGCCGGCCCGTGCCTCAGTGGCTCAAAGACGAACTGTCCAATGGATAGCACAGTTCTCAACCTCAAAGGTTGAAACGGCAGGATTTTGCGCACAGACTCATAAAGGTCTGCCTTGTGGCCATCCCCTAACTGATACTAGGTGAAAGTGGCCGACAGTCCAATACAAATACGAACAATGAGCTTGGCTCAACCAATATGTTGTTTTTCGAGTGTTTCGATGTGAGAGTATAATTGTTGAAGATTACCTTTGTCTATCGAATCTTGTAATATAAAATTTTAATAAATGATGTTTAAATGGTCTGGATCGTATAGTTTTAGAAATCATTATTTTTTATTAATGTAGGTGTAATTTGTTTTAGTAGCTTTTTTAACATATGTGTTGATTCCCGGAATTGAGCATGTAATGTATTTACAACTTAATTGCTTGCCTATGTACTTTCGCTCTTAGCCAAACGAGGAACAAAAACAGGCAGCTATTTATAAATATGTTAAAAATATTTATCTGTTAGCGCCAAACGCGAAAGTTAACGCTTTAAAGCAGCTGCCCGAATATCTAAGTTATTTAGTGAATTATTGTTACTTTCTTACGACGAAGCAAATAATCGAGCTTTTATTGTTCATATATCTGATATACATTCTCAAGAAATAGGGTCTTCTATAAGAAATAGCATTAAGCAGGATATTTTTCTCAATCCACGCGACTGTTTTATACGTACCCGTTTTCTAAGTGTTCGTTTTGAATGCGTTCGTACCTGACACATTTGTACATTCGTAGTTAATTTATTTAATTTGCTCGAGGGACATCTAAAGTGCATAGTTGGTTTTCAAACGTCACAGTGCCATATGAAACTGTTATGCGAGCGGCACTAAAACATGTCTGCATATTGTGTACAACACGCTAGTCCTTATTGTAAGCTATTTCATATTTTTCTATATCTTAAATAACTGGTTTATGTCCTTGTAAACGAATACACGCAGTGACAATATTATTTTTGTTTTATTAGCAAATTTACAACAATAGACGTAATAATTAAAGAGTGCAGCTCAAGGATTCATGTAAAAGTGGAATCACACCTTGCGATTAATATGGCATGATTTTACACATATGCTGTTTTCTTGCCGCATGTTTGCAAAGTTTTATTTCATGTTAATAGTGAATATTTGCAATATCTTGAATAATCAAACTTGTGATTAATACTTGTCAATAACCCACAGGACGCTAAATGTGTTATAATTTAAGCATATTTGCCTGGAAAGGGATCGAAAAATAGAAAATAATAATCCTGAATATTGTTTGGTACCCTTTCGTTTCTTGATTATAGTATTGTTTTGGTTTAATTTAGCGTTATTAGATTTACAAATAAACGAACAAATTGTGCTTATACAGATCTAAGTATTATATGAATACCCCGATTTTATTTATATAAGAACTGCAATAAAGTTAATTGATTTAAAAACAATTAGTTATTGTACTAAACACTTAAGTAATAGTTAAAATACTATATTAACTGTAATATTATTTATTTATCATGAAAAACCTTAAAATCATTTTCTTTTTATATAGATGATTATACTTGTCATATTGTGGCAACTATATGTGAATCGTGTGAATGGCAACATACAAAGTTCATATAACTAACTCGCGGTAGATTTGTTTACAATGTAATTATTTTAGACTATTACGAGTTAGTTGAAATTGTTATTTAAATTTTTATAAACATCAATTAATATTATGATTTACTGCGATTAATGTTCTTACGAACTGAGGCGCCAAACACTATGAAGATTAAATACTTAAATATTATATTTATTTTTTTTACATTAAAAATTTATTAAATTAAGATTTATATAAAAATAAAAGTACATGAATTCGTACATGTTTATATTGCTTAAACGAATTTTTTGGTTATCAAAGTTTAATCTTTATTTTCTATATATATTGAAATTAGTTGGCCTTCAACGAAATTTTGTTAACAAACATCGGAATATATAATTTTATATAACGATAGAAATATGAATGGTCTTAACACGTGTCGTTCATAAAAAATACTTCACTTATTTTATTAAATGATTTAAAACAATGCATTTATTTACTTTTCCTATTTACCTAAACCTGAATAACAATTGTACCTTAAAATTACGTAGGGGGGGACGTATATAGGCTTTAACTTTAATCTCAGACCAACAAAGAAGTCCTGCGTACATTTTAATCATGCCGAAACCATGCTCAGCGTCTTGACTCGCATTCACGCACACTTCTTTCTTTATCAGCCCGTAATAGTTCACTGCTGGAAGCATTCTTATGCACCTATAACTATGTATTTGGTTGAAAATAAATTTAGATGCAAATATTCACGTGACTGCGTGTTCATACAATAAGTTAGGTTTTGGCTCGGTTTTAGCGTCCTATATAAAGTACGAAGCGATCAATCTTTCTTCCTTTGTTGATCTAAGCCTTTATTAAATATAAATAAAATTGAAGCCTGTCTGTGATATTAAAACAACTGGCTTCTATAAATTATTATTTGAGGCAATTACATGGCCGGGCTAATGTTCGGAATGGCTGAATCGATTGTGATGAAATTGTACGGACAGATAGAGAGCAACCCCGGGAGGGATGTGGGCTATTTTTTATTCGAGAAACTTGAATAAAAAAAATGATACAATAAATGGTCTCTGATTATCTTAAGCTTTAATAATGCAACGTTAATAGACCCTATCCTGGCGAAGCCCAGGCGGGTCGCTAGTAAATAATATTATATGCTTATAAGCATAGTAATAAGTAATTTTGTTGTGATGTCGCGTCATGTAATATTATCTATTATTACCTAACCAAAGAGTATACAAATTACTACGTTTTATGAGTATAGTATGCCTTGAAAACGATAAATTCCAGCAGAGCGGGACAGTATTTCATGCCGGCACACCGCATGCAACTTTACAAGGCGCAGGTTCGGCCTCATATGGAATACTGTTCCCATCTCTGGGCTGGGGCTCCCCAGTGCCAGCTCCTTCCACTTGACCGCATCCAGCGCAGAGCGGTTCGAATCGCCGCCGACCGAGTTCTTTCCGATCGGCTTCTCACTGGCACTGCGTAGAGATGTTGCATCTCTTTGCGTATTTTATCACGGGGCGTGCTCGGAGGAATTGTTCGAACTAATTCCGGCCGCTCAATTTCACCATCGTACATCGCGACAAAACTCGCGATACCATCCATACCATCTGGATGATTGGCGGTCCACCACTGTGCGATTTAGAAGAAGTTTTCTTCCTCGCAAAACTTCCATATGGAATCGATTACCACCAGCGATTTTTCCGGACCGATTAGACTTAGGAACCTTCAGGAAAAGAGCCTACTCTTTTTTAAAGGCCGGCAACGCATCTGCGATTCCCCTGGTGTTGCAGTTCTTCATGGGCAGCGTAGTCACTTACCATCAGGTGAAACGCATGCTTGTTTGCCCCTTTCATATATAAAAAAAAATTGCGCATATTCAATGTATACGAGATTATATGATTTCATAAGCTAAATTAAATCATACATCCATCCATTACAGCCTATAAAAGTCCACTGCTAAACCTAGGCCTCTCCCATAGATTGCTTCATAGGGGAGATTTTGCCATAGTTACACACTTCGCAAGCGTTTTTTTATTATTTAGAGTTATTATCAGGAAGATACTGCTGCCCATTACCTGTTTCATTTTTCCTCTGTCGCCTCTTACGAAACCTTTGGGACGATATGGGGTAGTAGATGTTACTACACTACTACTACACGGTTGGAGCTAAATTAAATATTGGTGGCTAAATTAAATATCTGTAGCGGCGCTGTCGTCACGCCACAAGCGAAAGATATCGAAGCGTAAATCGCGCTAACAAAGTTCCGAAGTTAAAAGCAGTATATATAGAATAGCTCCGAACTACCACTCAAGCCTATTCCGCTTGCCACACCGCTCTCAAGTGGACGTGTACAAGTAGACCGCGCTATCGTCCCCGTACGTTAGTGCCCTCTCGCTCCCGCGCCTCCACTCTCCTGCTCAAGCTAAGCAGCGCAGTCGCTTCGGTGAGTTTTTGCCGCTTACTTTCCGATCTTGCCTCCCTGCCTCCTGGCGGGGATGTTTTACCGCTCATTGTTTTGCTTGTTATTTTTTTGTTACTTTTTCTTGTTAATTGTTTTGTAAATTTTTTCTTTTTGTTATTGCTTTATTGTTATACATGTATATTGTTTCTTGGATACGTCTCTTATTCTTTTCAAAACAAGATCCTGTTCTTTTGACAACAGGGATCCCCAACCTTATTGTTTCACTTAGAACGACGTCCCCCCCGCCCAACATGTCCACAAAAGACCTTATTAGGTCAATCGTCGCCGCCCTGAACCATTCCCTTGGTCAGGGCATCAATCTGGACGAGACGGTTCTCGCCGCAGTCTAAGCTTCCATTGCCCCTCAGGCATGTCTCCCCCCGCCCTCCGTCGCGGCCTTTTTGGCGGCGCCTCCGGCTGCCCCGCAGTCTGACTCACTCGTGTCCCTCGTCATGGAGTGCTCGTGTTCTAACTCCGGGTCCATGGTATCGACCTCCTGGAAGAGGCCCGCCACCGAAAACAAGTCCAGCACTGGTTCCTCAGAGTCGTCTGACTCCGACGGAACCAGTGAGTCTCTGCCTCAACCCCCGCAGCTCCCGCTGCTGTCTCTGCCCCCGCCGCTGCTTCGGCCCCCCCCAATGTCATTAGACATCCCCCCACCAACCAAGCCAGCATCCCGCTGTGCCTCCACCTTCGCAAAACAGCAGGTCCCACCCCTTGTCTTCCTTAGAGACAAGGCAAAATTCACCCGTCTCTCCAAAATCTGCTACGACGCAGGCATCAAGTATGATCAGGCCACCCACTTCATCCCTCAGTCGATTGACGACTTTCGCCGCCTTACCAGGCTATTCACATCCGAGCGTGTGTCCTACCACACGTACGCTCTTCTAGAAGAGCGTTAAGTCCGGTCCGTGTCCCGTTTGAGCTCACCAACGAGGACATCCTTGAGGACCTTAAGTCCCAAGGATTCCC